GCCAAACATTGATCAGCTGGTTGATGAGACCGCGGGATGCGAAATCATGTCCTTCCTCGATGCATTCCGCGGGTATCATCAAATCTACATGCATGAGGAAGACGCTGAGAAAACTGCCTTCATGACACCCGAAGGCGTCTTCTGCTATCTTGTGATGGCCTTCGGCCTCAAAAATTCAGGCGCCACCTACACGCGCATGGTGGCTAGGGTCTTTCAAGCTGTCCTAGGACGCACCATGGAGGCTTACGTTGACGATATGATCGTCAAAAGTAAGAAGGCAAGCACTCACGCCGACGACCTCCGGGAGATTTTTGCCATCATGCAAAAATTCAACCTCCGGCTAAATCCAAAGAAATGCACCTTCGGCGTGCAGGGAGGAAAGTTCTTGGGCTACATGGTCAGCCGGAGGGGTATTGAGGCCAACCCCGAGAAGATTCAGGCCATCATCAACATGGAGCCTCCACGCAACGTCAAAGAAGTTCAACGGCTGACGGGTCGCCTGGCGGCCCTCAACCGATTCCTCTCTAAGTCAGCCGAGAGGGCCCTCCCCTTCTTCCAAATCATGAGGAAGACGGCGGGTTTCCAATGGACACCTGAGTGTCAAGAGGCCTTCGACGAACTCAAGAAGTACCTCTCCTCTCCCCCAGTGCTCTCCAAACCAAAGGTGGGGGAGACTTTATACTTATATCTCGGTGTTAGCCCTGCGGCTATCAGCTCAGTACTAATCCGAGAAGAAGACAGCATCCAACATGCCATCTTCTACGTCAGCAAAACCCTCCGGGAGGCCGAACTCAGGTATTCTCCCGTCGAGAAGACGGTGCTAGCCATCGTTTGGACCGTCAAGAAGCTTGGCCGCTACTTTCAAGCTCATCCGGTCCAAGTGCTCACTCATCAACCCCTCGGCGCCCTCATGAGGAGTCCCACTAGCTCCTCTCGGATGGTGAAATGGGCCATCTTCCTCAGCCAATACAACATAGATATCCGTCCGAGGCCTGCCATCAAGGGCCAAGCCCTGGCAGACTTCGTAACGGAATGCACCGCAAGATCAGCGGTGGATGAGGAGCCCTCGGCACCCCTCGATGAGTGGTGGACCCTCTACACCGATGGCTCCTCGGCCACCAAAGCATGCGGAGGGGGAGTAGTTCTGATCACACCCGAAGGCTTCCGCGCCTATTATGCCATCCGCTTCTCCTTCAAAGTCTCCAACAACGAAGCCGAGTATGAGGCCCTGCTCCGTGGCCTTCGGCTGGCAGCAAATCTGAAGGCCAAACAAATCCACGTCAAGTGCGACTCCAAGCTAGTCGTAGGCCAACTCTCCGGCGAATATGAGGCCAAGGAAGGAAGGATGAAGCAATACAAGGAAGCGGCCAAAGAATTGCTTAAGGTATTTGAGGCACATTCCCTCACCCAAATACCGAGGGCTCAAAACTCTGAGGCCGACATTCTATCCAAGCTCTCGGATGAGTCCCCCGAGCACCTCTCGAAAATTGCGAGGATCGAGGAGCTCAGCCTCTCAAGTATCCACGCAAGCCCCGTCATGAGCCTTAACCTAAGGCCGGAGGATTGGATCTCCGATATCGTCGCCTTCATCACCACGGGGCAACTACCCCAAGACGAAGCCCGTGCAAAGTTAGCAAAACTGAGGGCTCCCAGTTACACCCTCGAAAATGGGAGGCTTTACAAAAGATCTTACAACGGCACCCTCCTTCGATGCCTTCATCAAGATGAAGCCGAAGTCGCTATGGAGGAAGTGCACAGTGGCACTTGCTCGGCCCACCAGGGACCCTTCTCCATGTCCCGAAGGCTCATAGTTCAGGGCTACTTCTGGCCCACGATGGCTAGAGATTGTGCTGATCTATCCCGAAGGTGCACCGCTTGCCAACACTTTCAGAAGGCCCCCGGCAGGCCCGCGGTCAACTATGCTCCCATCAGCACCGCTATACCCTTCTCCAGATGGGGAATTGACTTAGTAGGCCCTCTGCCGAGGGGTACCTCCAACAACAGGTATATCATTGTGGCCATTGACTACTTCACCAAGTGGGTAGAGGCCGAGCCCCTCGCCAGCATCACTGAGGCCCGGCGCCGCCACTTTGTTCTCAAAAATATTCTCACAAGGTTTGGCGTCCCCCAACAAATTATCTCCGACAACGGGACTCAATTCGAGGCAGCCCCCTTCTGTGCCCTCCTGGAGGCATGGGGCATCAAACACACCTTTTCATCCGTTGCCTACCCACAGGGCAACGGACAAGTAGAAAATGCCAACCGCACCCTCCTCGAAGGGTTGAAGAAGAAGCTGGAAGCCGAAGGGGGAGGCTGGGTAGAAGAGCTCCACAACATCTTGTGGGCCTACCGCACCACCCCTCGGCGCGCAACAGGCGAAACACCCTTCTCCCTGTGCTATGGCTTCGAGGCTAAGGCGCCCACAGAGGTTACCCTTCCTACCCGAAGGGTGGAACAATATGAACCCGACGTCAACGACGCCAACATGGCCCTCGACCTTCATCTAATCTCAGAACGCCGAGAGCAAGCTTTCCTCAGGGCCGAAAACTATAGGAGACAAGTCAAGGGCTACATCGACGCCAAGGTCCGCTCCCGGGAATTCCAGGTGGGAGACTACGTCCTCCGACGAAGGGAGGCCAGTCTACCCACCGAAAGAGGGAAGATGGCGCCCAAGTTTGAGGGCCCCTACATCATCTCAGCCATCATCAAACCGGGGACATACAAATTAAAACGTCCTAATGAGACAGAGATTCCTAGACATTGGAATGTGCACCAGCTAGTAAAGTTTTATCAATGAGCGGCCAAGCCCTCATCCTCAACAAGTGTAAATATCAATGGCCCAAGGCCCCATCTGTTCTTGAAGAATAATCAAAAGGCCAAGCCTTCATCACCTACATATTATACAAGCGGCCCAAGGCCCCCTTCTCTCCTACAAATGAGTGGCCAAGCCCTCGTCTCTTCACCAAAATAGGCCCAAGGCCTCTTCCTCTCAGGAGGGGGAACAACAATTTAGGTACCAAGTACCAAGTGTATGGGTCACCCCCATCACTCTTTGAAAACACCAAGTGTTTTCTCACTAAGCTGTACCCCACGAGGACGCAACCATGCATACATTATGCATACTTTTACATACTCTCATAAAAAAAAAAAAAAAAAAAAAAAAAAAAAAAAAAAAAAACCGGGGGGTGCGATACCCCTCGGCTCCGGCTGGTACCAAGTGCCCCCGGCTATTTGTGTCCCACGCACACAAATAAAACCCTTCCCAGGAACGCTTTCCGCGCCATCCCCCAAGGGGAGGCAGGCAACGGACCATGTCCCGGGCCCAGGATTCGACTTCCACAAACGAAACGCTCCCCGCGCTATCCCCCAAGGGGAAGCAGGCAACAGACCTTGTCTCGGGCTGAGGGGACGACTTTCAAATCCGAGGCGCTTTCCGTGCTATCTCCCAAGGGGAAGCAGGCAACAGACGATGTCTCGGGCCGAGGAAACGACCCTCAAACCCTTCGGGATATCGGAAGGTCATTCCCGAAGGGGGAGCCAACGGTTTGTTCCGTTGCCTCCCATATAGGCCAAGCCTTTCCTAGAAACCAAGTTTCTAGATGCCTCTCCTACACCATCTAAAAAAAAAAAAAAGAAAAAAAAAAAAGATGCGTAGGGGGGAAGGAACTCCCCGGATACTATTCTCCCCGGAGGCTCAACACTTCGGATATACATTCCCGAAGGCTCCCACAAAGGCACAAGAAAATCTCTCAACAACAAGTCATCTGACTACATAGCCGAAGGCTTCACTATAGGAAACCTTGGAGTACAAGATTTCCACCGGAGGCCCAAGAAGAAGGCTCACTAAGCGAAACTTCACCTACATTTGGCGAAGGCTCCACAAAGTTCTAAGGCAAGCTAAACCTATATCTGCACAAACCGAAGGCCTCATGCCGAAGGCAGAATGTCAACAGGCTCATTGAACGATGGAAAAATTTCGGTAAGTCCACAAATTGGACCCCCCCGGGGAACATTCATTAACCGGAGGCTACACGCAAGACCTATGGGAGACAAATCTCAGAATTTACTAAGTCCATGATTTCGGATCCTCCAACGGCTATTGGAACTTCGTAGAAGAAATGACTAAGTCCACAAATGAGGGACCCTTCGGGGGGCAATTCTTCACCTACAGATTCATGGTCGACGACCACCTAAACTACTTGGCAATGGCCCGAAGTGTAATTCATTTTAGCCCTCGGCCCTGCTGCTACAACCGGAGGCAATGACAATGGTTCATCACCAGAGGCGCACGCTGGGATATTACTCAAGGAATTTTCCAAGTCCACGATCATGAACCCCCCGGTGATTCTACTCTACATCCAAAGGGTTCTGATCAGGTTTTACTTAGAAAGTTTTCTAAGTCCGTAGTTTTCAACCTCCGGCTATCCCACTCTACAGCCGAGGACTCAGGCAAGGCTTTCACTTAGAAAAGTTTCTAAGTCCGCAACAATGATCCCCATGATTTCGGATCCCCCTACAGCTTACACACCGGAGGTTCAAGCAAGCCCCCGGCGAATCCCAGCGCACAAATGAGGGCTCAGGATTGGGTTTTCACTCAGAAAATCTATATTAAAACCGAGGGCTATATTGATCAGGATTGGATGGGAAAATTTTCGATGCCCATAACAACGACGACCCCCCGGTGATTCTACTCTACATCCGAGGGGTTCTGATAAAGTTTTGCTTGGAAAACGTTTTAAGTCTACAAACAACGACCCCCCGGTGATACTGCACTATAGCCGGGGCTAGCAAGGAGTTACACTTAGAAAAAATTTCTAAGTCCGCAAACTTATGGCCCTCGGGAAACCAGGCAAAAGAAAGGAAAACATACATTCACTCGTACACAAACACAAAAGAAGCGGAGGCATACACTCAAATCTTAAACAAGGAGGGCATACACATATGAAGCCCAGAGGCGATCATTCATTCATCCACAAAAATTTTTGAAGTACAAGATAGGTGTTCATTCACATACACGGCCGAAGCCGGAGCCTACTTATCTATTACAAATTGTACTTAAAGGAATTTCAAACTTGGGCATTTTCGGCTCCGTCCTCCTTCAGCTTCGAAGCGGCGTCCTCCTCGGCTTCCTCTTCATCATCATCGGCTTCCTTCATTAGTTCAGAATCCTCCAAATCCGGCCTCTCTACGCCCGGAGGGAGGGGAACCCTTGTGTCAGGCTGAAGGGGGGGCAGACCATAGGTGGCTGGGTTGAAATCCTTGGGGTCGACCCCGAAATGCCGGGCGAGCCTCCGGTAGACGAGCCACTGGGTAAAAAACTCACCCCCGTCGTAATACTCCTTGCCCTTCTGGGCCAACCACATCGCCCCGGGGCCTCCCACCCAGTCATCAACACTTCCCTCGATCACCGAAGCTAGCCACTGCTTGTGGTCTTCAGATCTCCATCCCTCGGAAAGAAAGGCGGCGATTGCATCCCTCTCAGCTTGAGCCACCGCCTCCTTCTTGGTCTTTTCAAACTCCTCGGCAGCAGCGACGGCGGCTTTCTCGGCCTCGGCCTTGCCTTCAGCCTTCCCTTCGGCTCTCGCAACCGTCTTGGAGTCTTGAAGGATCTTATTGAAGGCCTCCTGCTCCAACCGGAAGGTTTCTTGGGCCTCCAAGAGCTGCCTCCGGGAATCAGCCAGAGCCTCGTCAGCTCGCCTTTTCTGGGCCTGTGATTCCTCCAACCTCCTCAGAAGTTCGCCAAGTCCGAGGGAAGCCTACGGGAGAAAACATCGGGCGACAAATGTTAAGGTGGCCAACCCGAAAATGCGCTAAGTCCAGACAGAATGTGCTAAAAAAGGGAAGTGGGAAATCTTACAGTGACCGAAGCTTGGAGGACCTTGCTGCCGAGGGCATCGTCCTTCAGCCTGGAGAGCACCGATTTATCCGTCGGGGGGGGTGGCGCCGGTCAAGAACTCCCTCGGGTTTAGGGTGCCATGCATAATGGCGGTCCCTTTTGTGATGGAAAACTGCACGTGATCTTGAGGCCACGTCAACTCGGCTCCCCGACCCGGGGAGGGATTATCAGGAGCAGGCACCGCCGCCGGAGTGCCCGAAGAGGAGTGCCCTTCGGAAATTACCACGGGGACATCCTTAGCACCGGCAGCCCCCTTGGCTTTCTTGCCTCCGGGAACGACGCCTTTGCCCGGCGCTTTCCTCTTTGCCACCTCGGTTTTGATGGCACCAGCTTCGGGGGCATCTTTGGAGGGGGTCCCGGCGATTTGGGCCTGGGCGGCCTCATCCTTGCGGAAGAATTCATCAACGGGCTTATGTGACCCAGCCTCCTTCTTTTTTGGCTCCTTGGCCAACTGCTTCTTCAGCCTGGCGAAATTCTTCGCGTCCATCTCGGGGCCTGCAAAAAAGCATTCCAATATTAGAACAGAACAATGAAGTAAGAAAAGCAAGAAATTCCTAAGTACACAACTAGAAGCCCCCGGCGATCACCTTCGGCGCTCTCATAAACCCTGTCTATCAGGGGGTACTCCTCATCAGCCTCCCCCATCAAGCGGAAACGCCGGAAGCTAAGCTTGAGAAGCTCTCCCGGAAGGGTGGCATCCTTGATGGTCTTCAATTTGTCTGACCCCTCCGGCTTTTCGCCCAACTTCCTCCCTCGCTTCACAAGAACAGCACCCCCGACCTTCGGGTGCCTTTTGAAGTTGTCCCGAAGGGGTGCGGCGAATGGGTTTTCCGCCATTCGAACATAGCAAAACTTATCCTTCCATCCCTTGTGGGACGAAGGGATCTCAGAAAACAACCTGAACTCGGGGATTTGTTGCAAATTGGCGAACCCCCCAGCATTAGAGTGTCCTCCCCGGCAAAGGTTGAACGACAGGAAGAACTGGTCCAGAGAAGGCTCTACCTTCCTCTCCCGGCACAGAGACAGGAACCCCGCCAGATAAGAGTGACTGTTGGGAGTCAACTGGCAAGGGGCAAGCTTAACAAAACGGAGATATTGTAGCACGAAGGGATGGAGGGGGAACCGGAGGCCCAGCTCCACCGACAGGATATGCACCGCGAAACAACCGGCGGGGGCGTGTAGAAGCACGTCATTCGGCCCCGGCTCCACCACCTGTGCCGAAGGGCCGGCAAAGAATTGCGTCGCCATGTATTCTGCATGCGTGGCCTTAGTTTTCACCTCTAAAGCCGCGGTGTTCAAGTATGAATGACCCTCCGGGATACCTACAGGTTGCCCGGCATCGGCAGCGGCTTGTTTCTTCTTAGGTGCTGCCTTCACCTTCTTTTTCCTTTTCCCGGGGGCCACACTAAGAGGCTCCGGATCCAGGGGCCTAGAGCTCCCGGCTTCAGCATCATTGCGAGAGGGGGGAGGGACAGCGACGGTCACCCTCATCCGCTCCTTCTCCTCCTCCTCCTCGGCAGTTTGGACCGCTAGGGCCATCTCCTCATCTTCTATCACTTGCTCAAACTCCTCGGCTTCGGCCTCGGTTATAAGTCGGGTCTGGACTTCGGCGGCTACTTGCGAATCGTTATCGGTCGAGGGCTGTTCACTAGAAGATTCCACTTCGGAATAGCTTCCGGGATCCATTGGGGCCTCCTTCGAAATGTTCTGGGAATCACTAGCCGACGACATTTTTTTTTTGTGTGTCGCGAGAAGAGGAGGCTTAAGGAAATGAATTATAGCCGAAGGCTTCCTAAAAGGCTCTAACCCTAAATTTTTTCCGGAATAGCAAGTAAAGCAAGAACAGAGGAAGAACAGAGGGAGAACGCACCTCGAAAAGCTGGTTAGATCGAATGCAAGGGTTTCTCTCTCTAGAAAAATTGGCAGAGCTTCGCTATCGTTTAGGAACGCACAAGACGAATGGCTCAGGCTCTGGGGTATTTATAGGTGACTGGGCCTCGAGAGCTGGGCCTCGATCCGAAAGCCCATCATTACGGGCCGCCGCTTCAACCAATGAATAACTCCCGCCACCTTCAACCAACAAGTGCACGCCACGTGGCCCCCTCTTCTAACGGCTATTTTTCTAACGGCTCTATCTTAGGAGACATCGAGGCAACCTGAGATGATACCCTCCGGCTATCACTCACCAAAACACTCGGTGTAGAACTGTTGCCGGATGCCCCCGGAGTGAGAGCCCCGGTAAACATGTGTCACCTGACCACTTCGAGCAAGCAAACAGCGTAAGCCTTCGGCTCGTCAATATCAACTCTCCCCAGACAATAACACCCCTCGGGGCTGCACAAAAACATTACAACTCCTTACGCCCGAACTTGCCTTCGGCCCAAAGGAGTGAGGGACTGGCACACACCCCTCGGGAATCACATCAAGTGGCACGTAAAGGAGAACCCTTCGGACGTACGCACCATCACACCCTTCGGCGGAGGCAGAGCATCACAAGTTTTCCCCGAGTCACTTGCGGAAATAGAGCAGCCCCCATCACAACGCATACAGGCAACACATCTACGCTCCCTTCAGAAAACCCTCGATATGTGAGGGACTGAGGAGAGCCTTCGGCAGTCATACAGGTGTTATACTTCCCTCACCTAACCCTCGACATGTGAGGGACTGAGGGAAGCCTCCGGCAATCCCAACCAAATGATGAATCCCCCAGAAGAATCAACACATCTACTCCTTTTCCCTCGAGTACCTTTCGGCAAAAGGAGTGAGGGACTCCTGATGGAGTATATGGCCCAGGAACCCCCGGCCCATAGACTCCTACTTCTCCTACACAAGTCCATTGAGCCCAGAGAACATCTCAGGCCCAAATACAACGGCCCAAGCCTCAAAGAAGCCCAGAATACACACTGGGGTGCCTTCGGCCCCCTTGGCCGAAGGCTCCAGAAACTCACGCGGTAGCCCTCTCTGACATACGAAGCTACTGGGAGAAAGCGGCGAAAAACATGAGCCTTCGGCATTGCCAAGCCCTCGGCATTAGGGGAGCCCTCGGCTGAACTTAGCCCTCTGCCACTCGGGGCCTTCAGCTACACAGGGGTCCTCGGTTACACGGAGCCCTCGGCTACACCAGAAGCCTTCGGCCAAGCATGCTCAATCATCGAAGATTCCTTTTGGGGACAGCCAACCACCGCATTTAATGCCACGTCACATCCGCCAACCGCATTCAATGCGGTGAACGTACCACTGCCGATGCCACCAGGCTGATGTGACCCTTCGGCCGTTGGATTACTGACACGTGTACTCTCATCGCATTTATTGCTGCTATAAATAGCAGCCCATTTCTCCTTGTAATCGACATGATCTACACACCACTCCATATCTCGAGTTCATTTAATAAAATCGACTCTCTCTCCTCCTATTTACTCTGACTTCTCTCTAAGTTATTCCCGTAATAACCCCTCGGATAAGATACCCCCCGGGTAGACTATCCATCAAATAATTATCACATATTTAAATCAAATAGCAACATAACATAATTAGCATCTAGTCAAACAAACATTTGACATACCTGAGTGAGCCGAATAACTGTTATGAGAATCAAAATATTCATATACAGATCAGAAACATATCCAGATATCATAATTATCAAATAATTCTTATTCGGAGGTATATTTTTAATAAATTCATTTAAGCCTTGTACTCAAAAAACTGGACCTTGACAGAGGAATACTAACGGTAAGGAATACAGACATAAAGTCCATACCCACATTACCCAGAAAGGATATGGAAACGTAATCGCCGGAGCTACACGTACCAATCCCTAACAGAAGCTAGCTGAACAGAAAGGACGAGATCACCGAAGAGACTCGAACCTTAACAGAAGAGTAATAGTGCTCTAAAAAGATTTCAGGAGTGTACATAGTACACTAAACAGGAGAACACTAATTCCTCTAAGACAGAATTTCAGGAGTGTACATAGTACACTAAACAGACAGATCAGGAGTATTCGTGTCAGAGTGCCGGATCAAGAGCAAGACCTTTTTGAAACATTTTTCTTTAGTTTGTTTACGGTAAAAATCTTGAGTTTAAATTATTTTTAGGGCATTCTCGGATGTCAGAATTTATATCAATACGTCCGATTCTTTTGTTTATTTATAAAGATTTAAAGAGTTATTTTTATCATCGTATATATTTCAATTCGTATGTTCAATCATTTCTTTAGTTCATACACAAAACCATTTAACAAGATACCATCATACGTTTACGTGAATATGAATAGTAGTATCTAGGAGCCTAGAATCATAATTATAAAGGCACACATGTATAGTAAAATAATGTATGCAAATGAAAATCTTAAGTGTATTATAACACTAGACACGTGTGTATACATATATTTACTAAAGTCAACTACTCTTATTCATAATAAAAGTATATATATTAGTAATTCTCATGGTCCCACAAAATAGTTAGTTATACTTGCAAACCTTCAATCTAATTAATAATTTATCTAATTAATTACTTAACCTACGTATATATTAATGAATATATAGATTATGTATTAATATCTATAAAATCTTAGCTCACGTGACTTTCAAAACTAAATTACAGAATTACATAATATTATAATCAATATATATAAGTGTTTACGTAAATAAAATCAGTAGAACTGACTTAACTACCTATATATGTTTATACTTATATATATGTTGACAAACCTTAACTGGCCTTATTATACACATGTACTACTTAATTACCTGTGGGAATGCACATTAAAACAAATCACGTACTTTATTGCTTTACAAATTATGAAATGACTTATATGACTTATAGCTATATTTATCTATGTATATGCATAACTTTTACAAGGATTAGTTTTACTGATTTATGTTTAATATATCAGAAATATGGAATCCTTGAAGTATATATTTCATATAAACTTAGTCGGTGGTTCTTTTTATAATTTTTCCTATCCGTACATGCAAACAAATTAAACTTTAGTTCCGTCAATTGAAAATTTTCATTTTATTTTCATTTACATACGATGTATATTGTAATCATCAATAATAACTCTTATAAATCATGAACACATAATCAAAGCATACAAATATTTCTAAGGCTAAATAATATTCATCATCTCCATAACATATGAACGGGGACGGAAGTTATACTTATATAATAATATTAAAATATACATTAAATAAAACTGGGTCAGAAGTACTGACCTTATATACGGAACCTTAATGATTTTTGGGTCGGAAGCTATTTTCCTTGAGCTCGTTTCAACCTCTTCCACTTGCTCACATCAACTCTTTCTTACTTCATATATGTACTACTCCGTATTTTATTTTAATATTGGCTGGCCGCATGGTATGTTGTCTATGAAGTTTTGAGATAAGTAAGGGTACATATATAGCCTTGATCATCCATCCGTATGGTAGAGAAATGCTTGGCAGACATAATTATTTTGAGTAACTATTCATAGAGCTAGTTGGCTTATTATGGTAGGTATATGAAGTACATAAATTTATTATGGAGTACATGAATTGACCTTAGGTGGCTGCCCATTCCTCATCAATTGAAGATATTTGACTATTATAATTTATTTTAGAATTGTCCAAATTGCTAGCTATTTAGATATGCACGTAACTTCATGAAAGATTTGGGACATGTATTATTTGTTTCTAATTTGGTTTAGATACCTTAGAAAAAATTATGCCGATTACATGAATAAAAACGTTAGTCGTGAAATTTCTATAATTTAGTTTAGATCAATTATTTTACTACTAAGTTTATTATCGATGTTTCTTTTTATTTTTAAAACTATACTTTAAAAATTTACGAAGATGTTTAATTTGATACATAAATAATATCAAAAGTTTATTCATATGTATTTGAACTACTAGACCAGATTTTGGGGCGTTACATGATTGATAGTTTTCAATCATTTGAACTCTATATACACACCGCTCATCTTTGTGATCCTCAATTGATAGTTCATCCATTTTTATTACTGGTGGGTACGGTCCGGTCCAATATTTTGCCGAGCCTGTACCCATACCAGAACTATTGAAGCGGTTCGGTTTGGTTCGGTTCGATCTTAGATCTAAACCCGTTTGACACAGTTTTATTTTCAAACAAGACAGTACCATGTCATACCAATACCCCAACTATGCCAATTTTTCTGGAAAATTAAAGTTTAGTCGTCTTCCAAAATTCCACATAATTTATCAATTCTCATATATAATTAATAAGTTTCAGATAAACTATAGTAATACAAAACATAACTCACAAAACCGATAATTTGAGATAAACTCTAGTGGACTACAACTGCAAAACATTATTTTTTGTTGAATCTATACCTATAATAAAACAAAAGAAATATCGGGCTAGGCTTCACCCCATGAAGATCCGCCCCTGGCGGCGAGCCGCCATCCTGGCTTCCCGCGAACTAGCAAAGGCCTTGAAACTGCAAAGGCAGTACCCAAAGTAATGGTATACATGCACATGTAATTATTATTTATATAAATCATAATTCGGTCCGGTTCTGTCTGGTACCGGTTCAGCCCGGTACCGGTTCTCATTTTATGAGAACTGGTCATGGCATGGTCAAAAAAATATAAAATCATTTCAAATCCCGTTTTTCGGTATGGTACCATACCGGTCCGGTATGGTAGCATGCCGGTTCGGTATATTTCCTCACCCCTATTTTTTATTGAATAATATTTCTATTACTTCGTATTATTTACTATGTATTACTGCCTACGTTCCACTAACATTAGGACAATGGATGGTGACACAATTATTAAGAAAAGTGAGTTTACGTGGTTAATTTGAATTAATAAAGTAAGAATAAAGTAAAAATGATTTAGTCACACAAACTTTACCAGATTTGGTATGAGACAATTTTAATGGCTTTTTCAAAAAAGAAAAAAGAGACAATCTTAGCGGGACAGAGCCACGAAGGGAGTAATACTTGCTCCGTAGTTGTTTTAAAATTTTCTCTCTCAAATAAGGGTTTACTAACTCATGCACTGCATCATATTGTCAGTCTGTCCCCCTCCCGAACCACTACAGTGGAGAAATCGTGTGGTTAGGTTTTGGAAGATGTTGTTTCAAGTTTAAATTTATTTTAATTATCTTGCTCTTATTTGTATTTTTCGTTTCGAACTGAATGTTGTTTTGGTTGTTTTCTTTATTTCTATTAGCAGAAGTCTAGAGATGGCAATTTCGGCCGACCCGTTAGATACCCGCACCGAACCAATTTGGTCAAACTGGGGAAAACCGATTTGACTGGGGAATGGGTACGGGGCGGGGAATACCCGAATTTTTTAAATGGTTAATGGTGCGATTATGGTTCTATACTAATCCGGCCCGAAACCGCCCCATTCGCTAATGGTGCGGGTACCCGCACCGTTACCCGATGTGTAACATTATTAATGAATTATAACTTTTTATATATATAAGAATAATAAGTATATATGCTAAATTGTGTATACTAAATAGTATATATCATATAAATAATGCTAAAAAGTATACTACTTTTTTAGGCCTAAAACTAAATATAGGCCTAAACCTGTTTTTGGAAATTGGATTCTGGGATGATTACTACTTTTTTATTGTGTTACAAGAGATATTAGGTGCATGTCATACTAATGAGTTTAGGTCAGTCTGCTTGATTACTTAAATGTTTACTTTTGTATGTTTTACGGTGCTTTGAATATATAAATAACAAGTAGGATTAAAAATTGGTTATTTGTTTTCCAAAAAAATGGTTATTTGGTATCATTTGGGGAAACGGTTACCCGTGGATAGACCGATTCCCCATTAGGACGGGTACGGTTCAAATAAAAATTACCGGAATGGGTAATGAGGCGGTTTTGGGGCAAACATTTATCCAACGAGGTGGTTTCGGTTTTATGTGTACCCATCCCTGATCCACCCCGTTGCCATCACTAAGCAGAACCCTGGAGTTTAGGTTGAACAATGAAAGGTCTATTGCACCCGTCATTGCCTCAATTAAGCTAATTGTAAGATCAACGAATCATATAATTTTTTTTATTAACCTCCGAGTCTGGTTGACAATGAAAGATAAGGAGTACTTTTTTTGTTCTTTATTCAATATATATAACGTAGATTCTATGGTACCCATAAGGTACCGTACCTTTGTCCACATGGACCAATCAGAATCATGCAGTTGAATTATTTAAATCTAAATTAAAAGAAATTTAATGATTTGTAGGTACGATACCCCATTTTTTAAATGGGTACCGGAGTTGTAACCTATATATAAACCACTTTCTCAAGAAACTCATCTACGCTGCACCGGAACAAACCATTAATTTGTGTTGGTTCCTTTAATTTGTGATTGCCTTTATCTTAACGTTAAAGTGAAGATGGATGGCAAAGAGCGGGAAGAGAAACAACCGGGCGGAGAGGACGCCGCCGAGAAGAAGAAGAAGGGGTTTGTGATCAAGATTCCCTCGTACCAGGATGTCCTTGAAGCCTCTCAGTCCAAAACGGCACCGTCTTCTCTCTTCCACCCCAGTAGCTCATTCTCTCAAGCCTTCAGTTTTGTCAAGGATTCCGAGTTCTACTCTCCGCCTTCCTCACATGCTCCTCCCGTCTCACAAACCGCTGCCCCGAGGTCAGTGTATTAACCAGCGCGCTCTCATATTTGGATTCGTGGTCAGAATTCTATGGAGTGCGGTCATGAAAGGATTGCATTTCTTATTCTGTATTTGTGAATAAAGTGGAGCTAAATAAGTTTTTTTATTTAAGGATAACTAGTGAATCAGAAGCTCCCTCTTCATCAGAAACGCGACCATCGTCTTCATCTGCTGCAGCTCCACCCCCTCGAAATGCCATACTTGTTAGCCATAGGCAGGTAAGTATTTAATAAAAGGAATTCGTGAAAATCATACCTCTATTAGCATTCATCAGGAACGAATTATATTGCAGTCCAGATCCTCTACCAGAAACACCATATTCAATTCATTGTAGAATTAGGAAAAATCAGTGGAGTGAGTCCAAAAATATAACCAATGTGGAGTTTTTGGCTTTTCAGAGTACTAAGATAGTCAATCTTTACGGTGTACTGTAATTGATGATATTACGAGGTTGTGCTTGTCTGCATTCTCTTGTAGCATTCAAAACTAACCAACTAGTCAACTACTAAAGTCAAACTCAACTTTTGATGTAAATATGCAATATACCAATGGTTAAACCAAAATCCTTGTTGTTTTGACCATCTAGACCACCAATACAACTGAGTTTGAGATCCCAGGATCAAGTCTCACATAAAAATTGAAAGTCTCAAGTTGGTTATCCTAGGTTTGTCCATAGCATGGCAATATACCACCAAGGGGTCCACCGATCTATGAACTCCATGAGCAAGCTTATGACACTCCATCTACCCCAATGATTTTATTTTAATCCAGTGGCCCTGATTAAACAACTCATCTATGTGATTCGATATCAAATATCTACATAGTAATTCTACACTCTGTTTGGTTAACGGAAAATTAGTTACGGATTTTGTGTGTGTGTGTGTGTGTGGAGAATGCTGTTATTCTAGGTGTAATGTAACGTTTAACAATAACTATAATGCAATGCATCAAGGAAAAAAATTCATTCAGTAAAATGTTTTTTTCACCCTCAAGCATGGGAAATTCCGAAAAGTTTTTTTCAGTACATTACAGTATTAGAAACAAATGAACGAGTATGTGTGGTTCCGTGCTGAAAACTTAATAGTCAAATTTGTATAAACTTTGTAGTCAAACTTGTATATATTATTATTATCAGGAATTAATGATTGCTCTTGCCTAACAATATTTGAAATTAAAATAGTAAAGTACACTAGATTCTTTTCCCAAACACAATTCTGGCCTGCTTTGTACCAGAGAGTAGAGATGATCTGGATATATGCATGATGAATAGTAATAACTGATATAGAGGTCATTGTCCATGCTGATCTGTAAAGAACTAAAGATAAACACAAATCACTACTATGGATTGTGTTGGTTTTATATTATTTGATCTGTTGATCTATAATTTGTATTTTTCTTATAATTCTTCAGAAGGGAAATCCTGTGCTGAAACATATTCGGAATGTTAGATGGACGTTTGCAGATGTCGTTTGTGACTACCTACTGGGGCAGAATGCTTGTGCCCTATATCTTAGGTTGGAGCTGGAGCTGCCAACTATTAATTCATGTTACCAATTTGTATTATTCTATGTACACATTCTTTCAGTTCATTAATTGTGTACGTCTCTACATGGAAATGATGGCATATGGTTATTGGGTGATGAAAACGTATCCCAATAAACTTGTTCACAATACCATTACTATGGATACATGTACATTTGCTATCTACAT